TGAAGCGGTGAAATATGCGGACAATTTAGCGATCCCGGACGGACCCTTCTCAAACAGCACCATGTACAGGTCGGATTATAGAGGTGCTGAATGTGCTCGACCCGAAGCAGTGAAATATGCGGATAATCTAGCGATACCAGATGGCCCATTCTCAAACAGTACAATGTACAGGTCGGATTACAGAGGTGCTGAATGCGCTAGACCCGAAGCGGTGAAATATGCGGACAATCTAGCGATCCCGGACGGACCCTTCTCAAACAGTACGATGTACCGATCTGATTACAGGGGTGCTGAATGTGCAAGACCCGAAGCAGTGAAATATGCTGATAATCTAGCCATCCCGGATGGACCATTCTCAAATACCACAATGTATAGGTCAGATTATCGGGGTGCGGAATGCGCGAGACCAGAAGCCGTTAAAATTGTGGACAATCTTACCATTCCAGATGGACCCTTTTCGAACACGACCATGTATCGTTCTGACTACAGGGGTCCGGAATGTGGAATGCGCCTAGTAAGACGCAAGAAGATCAAACCAGCATCTCAGGGCTGCATGCATCGTCCCGCCTTGGATGCTTGTCGACAACGGGCTGCCGCATGTATTTGCGTACCTACCAACTGTTGCAATTCTGCAAAAGAACCCGAGCAAAAGACGGAAGTTTGCAAATCAGAAAATGTTGAGTCAGCGAAAGTAAGCGCCGAGTTAAATTCAAATTGACCTGCCGTATAAGTGCCTCACGTCTTATGGCGAGATAAATGTGAAGTCAAAACGTATAGTGGATTATCGGTGACTGGCCTTCGCAAATGAGCAGTTCATGTCTTCTCCGCGAACGATGACCTTATGGTACTGTATCTTTTCCCTTTTTATTTTGCTTTTAGGTTTTCTTTGACTTTAGTCTTTTATGTATGCCACGGCTTTCTCAGAATTACGTCCTGGCTGTATAAGTACAAGTGTGATACCGACTACGCCTGGTATTGGCCCTCCGACGTTTAATGACAAACACTTATTTACTGATAGTATCTTAGTAGACAAAGTTTCCTAGATAAAATGTGATCACGGTTCTAAAAGCCCTACTGCCATCGCGGTCTACCCATGCGCAATAGCCTACCCGTCACAGAAGACCCGATCGGTCAGAGCTTATTGTGTTTTCTGCACCCCCGCCATCACTATGAAGAAATTGTCATCTGCTCATGCTCACAGGTTGCGACGTTGCTGAACACAGCGTGTCTTTCATTTCCCAGATATCACGGATCCTAGTTAAAATGGCCACTTGATAACGCCGACTCGGAGTTCTCGTTTTCTTTTACAGTAGATTCATCGACATCCACTTCATGCGGGTATTCACTTCTGGACGTGGGAGGATTTTTTAGCTGCTTTAGAGTATGTCTTATCGACTCGGTCTGTATGGTGTGCTCTGATGGTCAAGTCGGTAAGGCGTCCGAAACTTTGGGATGAGGTCGGGGACTTAAATCCAGTCGACGACGAACATCATTTTCCCTCTTGCAGAGGTGGATCAGGCCCGTTTGCGTTTCACATGCTATGGGAGTGCAGGAATTTAAAAGTCTGCTCTGAACCGATTATACTGAGATTAATAAATTGCTAATGAGTTTCAGCAGTCAGAATTTTTAATTTAAACGACCCGGCCTTTGTTGTAAGGAGTCTTTCGACTGTTGCATTCAGAATCAAGCAGCAGTGATCTTGGCTTTTGGAGCGAGGCGACTTCCAAACTTGTGTTCATAGTAGGGATAGCCTCCAGAACGTGGTTCAGTAATATGTTGAAAATCAAGAATCCGTCTCACTCCGAGCGGATGTTTCCGAAGGTCGGATAATATAAGAAAAAGAATGCTATATTGAGGATTTTACAAACCTGAATTTTCAGCAAAA